AAGAAAACGCAACCACCCCTAAATGTGAATAAATGATTCCGTAGGATTCTTTAACACACCTCAAAAAACCTCCCCCTAAACCCCCCAATAGGCCAAGGTGCTACCTCTGTTTCTCCCTTTCATAATCGAAAACAATTCTTGGTCTTTTTTTCACGGATTCTTCCACCCAGATTCAGTGATTTTCACTGTACTACTCTCTACAAACTCTCAAATTCAGAGAATTTCAAGATGGGTATGGTTTATTTCTTAGAGACACAGCATACCCACTCAAAATCTCTGCTCCTTAGTTCGAAATTTGAAGATGGGTTTTGGTTTAATTGTCATGCAGAGAAGAAGGAAAAAGAGAAAAGGAAGAACATTTATTAATCGGAGATATGAAATCAGATACGGAGACGACCACCGAAAATCATATCTCTAATCTCCCCGATCTTCTCTCTAAAAACCTGATCTTTTTAAATAGATTTCTTTGCATTCATCTGTCTTTTTTTTTTTTTTTTTTCAAACCTTTACTCAGTGGTGGAATCCACAAATAAAATTGGTAGCAGGTAGACTTCCCACCCATGCAGGTTCAAGTTAGCATGCCAAGTTGTTAAAAAAGTCTGAGGTGGCGCTAACATGTGTATACTTGACGGAGGCCAACGGTGCATGTGCTACACGTGACACTCTGGCATTAAATTTTGCCTTATTTCCTCAAACTCAAAAATATTAAGGTAAAAATCCATGTATTGTAATATAAAAGGTAAAAACCCTCAAATTAAAAAAGTTAAGGGGCAAACGGGTGCCTTTTGCCTACTTCATCGATATGGAAGTCACAGTGCACAACGTCGGAATGAGGAATGGAAATGAAGTTGTCATGGTGTATTCAGCTCCTCCACCCGGGATTCCTGGGGCTCCTATCAAACAGTTGATGGTTTTCAGACAGTTAATATTGCTGCTGGTCAAAATGTAAATGTGAAATTCTCGTTCAATGTTTGTGATAGTTTCAACATCATCGATGCTGCTGCCTACAATCTCTGGCCGTCCGGTGCTCACAAAATCTTTGTGGCTGATAAATCAGTAACAGTTGAAGTTAGTTTTGATTATTAGTCTGTGTTTTGTTCATCTTTTTAGGAACCTTAGGATCTATTTTTTGTAAATAACATTCCCTAATCAGGCTTGGATGTAAATAAAAAGCTTTTTGCAAGTGAATAAATTTTGTTTGTCTTAAAATTCTTTAAAATTTATTTTGTGACAGAAAGTATATGATGTCTTGCAATTAGTTGTAACTTGAAGGTGCCTTGACTCCCTCCTTAATAAATAAATAATAATGAACAAATGAATAACAAATTTAGTTACGTTGTAATATTACAAATTTTATTTATTTGTTTACCGTGTCATAAATAATTTTATTTCAGTTGTTAGGCTCCACCAATAATTCCATTCTTCAAACAAATGTTTTTGATCCTTCTTAGCCAATACAATCTCCAAGTTTATCACGAAAAATGTATGAACTAAAATGAACGAAAGAGAGAATTTAACTTAAACATATGCAGATCCTTAACTTTTAAAAATCTTTCCACTTAATCTCTTTGGCAAACCAACGCTTCTATCAAATGTAGACAACTCATATATAATCTAATAAGCTACTGCGAATCATTCCGCTGAAATTTCTATGTTTGCCACTCAATAAGATTTGTTGAATTCTTAGTTTGATTTAATACAATGCTTTAATTCCCCTCTAATATCTTAATTTGAATTGTTTCATTTTTAAAAAATAAAAATGAAACAAATTTAAATTTTAACCATTACAATATAACTCAGAAATGTTGAAGTGATAGGAATTCAAGTTACTCGTCACCAATATTTATATAGTATTCTAAGTAAATAGTAAACATGAAACCCTCAACTAACATTAATAGATATAAAATGAATGACATTACTTTCATGTATAATTTATTTTACTGTTTCCATCATGAAATAGAAGTCACCTGACAAAGAATTTTTTTTTTTCTTGGTTTGGACTTTGGACAAACGTTCCCAAGTCAATTTTTATCCATCTTCAGATTAATTTCTCTCTCAACAATTTCAATGGTGCAACCCTTACCCTACATTTATATAGTCTGATGCATTCAAAGTAACTTAATTCCATTGAGTATTGGCCTTAAGGCTTAAACTCGACTTACAAAACAATACCTTACCAAGAAATATGTACATTGACATGGTTTAGAATTACCCCCTTACTATTACTAATGCACTGATTTTTTTTTTCTTTATCAGCTTACTAATACACAGATTAATCAAAAAAAAAAAAAAAAACCTAAACATTGAACCCACTAATTTGAAACTGAGGCAGTAAGAGCTTTAATTAAATTGGTACCTACTAACTAATTTCAACACATTGAATAGTGATCAAGGTTAGCATTTAAATAATCTCCATAATGAGTAACTTACCTTTTTAACAAAGACAAATATGAGGATGCAGAAAATACAAAGAAAAAGATATAGAGGGTATTATTAATTGTCGGTGAACTGGTGAAGGTGAGTATCTCAATACCAAATTTCCACCGAACATTGTTTAGGAACTGTTTTGGGAGATCAATTTTAAAATTTATTAAAAACACTTTTCCGTGTCTTAAGTTTGAATTAGTTTTGGAAGGGAAAAAAATAGGTAATTTAGAAAGGAAAAAAAAAATTATATGCAAGTTCTGCAAAAGCATTGTCCAATAATTCCTCAACATAAGAATACAATGATCCATCAACTAAAACTTCAGGTGAAAATTTGTACTGACTAGTTACAAAAACAAATCTTCCCTAGCAAAGCTCATAACAGATATAGATCATAGAACCCAAATCACTACTTTGTCATTTGGGGGTTTACTTTCCAAACCAATAAATTGGAGTTGAGGAGAAAGAACCACCGGGTGTTGGTGCAGATAGACAAACCTCGCTGTAATGTTCAAGGCGATGAAGATACAAGCTTTCTCCATGAGTTAAAATTCTCAAAAATCATTATCTTGGTTGCGTGTATCCCAAACTGATTAACTTCTCCATCAGCTTCTTTTCAGCATTTGCCTAAAATCCCAAGAAAGAAAAGGGTAAACGTGGAATCAACAGCATCATGTTCCAAAGCATGCAGGAATATGCCATGGCAGGTGAAATTATTAGACAATGCTCCTCTCTTTACTTGAATTGGAAAGAGGGAGTTGGGCTATTAGAGCAATTAACCAGCAATATGCTTGTCTTCCTGCCACTGTCATTCACATTGGAAAGTTATTGGTCTACCAATGGTTAAAATCCATCAAGTTGTCCTACAAGTCTGGACATGGCTTCAGGCCAAAAGTTAAAAACTTGCGTCAAATGCAAAATGAAAATTTTAAAATGTAAAGGGAATGTGCGAATACTCAAACAAACAATCTCTCCAATACCAGCACTAGGTTAAAACATAGCCAAGAAAAAAATAACAAAATGACAAGATTGTACCAAAAAGAAACTTCAATGCGTTATTATGGCATATGATAAGAGACAGAGAAAGAATGGTAGAGGAACAGATCAAACCTCAAGCATGGGGCTATTCTTTGGGATACTGCAAGCAAGAATTATGTTAAGACCAGTTTTCAACACTGCCATGGAAACAAAAAATTGCATTTAGCCCACGATCAAAAGATACCAAACAAAACATATTAATAGAAATTTACCTAATCGCCTAGCGATTCCAGACCCGGTGTTATCTGAAGAACCTCCCAGAATAGAAGTCACACCGACCGTATTGCTCTGTTTCCTCCATCAAAACATTGACTACTTAACCAGTATTCATTATCAATTGTTAATCCCTAAATTTGAAGGTTATAATCTTACAGGCCGTGTCGATGCAGCTGCGTACAAGTCACCGAATTTGGAAGAGTTGCAACCGATCCATGCATATATCTGTTTGTAATTAGAAAGCGATTAAATTCTGAATATAAAAAAGGTCAGAAATTCATCTAATTAAATATCCACACCTGTTTAGGGAAACGAATGATTTGGAAGTGGAAGGTAGCGTCATCGACGAGCTCACTAAAGCAGGTGATTTCAAGACCACCAGCGGCGGCGTTGGAGATGGTGCTAGGGTGCGTCGACTGATCTTGGAGTTTTAAAGACTGATCGGAGACTAGGTTCGAGTCCGAAGCACCGTCGTACTCAGATTCTTTTTCAGCCATTATCGTACCGCAGAAGCTCGAGGTGATGAATCCTGGAGAAACCCCATTCTACTCTGGGCTTTATGCTATTTCGTGTTGCTCACTGCTCAAATCAGGAAAGAAAAAGAAATAGACAGGCCCGAACTAAAAGAAAATAGAGGCCTAATTTGAAGTCAAAAGGCCCAAAAGAAAGAAAAGGACTTTTATAGGCCCAAAGGAAAATATACATGCCATTCGTGTATTTATTCAGAATACATAACATGATTTATTTTAATTTTGTATATATAGAATGATGATAAGACATATAATGGAAGATAGTTGTCTACATACCCACCCAACATGATATTATCATCTAGAAGTAGTCAAACGGGTAAATAATTGTGTGAACTTGTAAGGATGCTTTTAGGATTGTAATTGAGAGTTTTTTTTTTTTTTTTTTAGTTATACAATGTTTTTAAATATAAATGTATTTAATAATTTATTTTAGATTGTTTTTTTTTAAAACCACAAAAAGCCATAGTAGATTTATAGTAATTATATATATAAAGTCAAAAGTCTCATTTAAA